GTCAGATGGCCACCCAACCTCTGCTTAAAAACTTCCAATGAAAATAGTACAGTAGTGAAATAATGTGGTAGTGAAAATAATATAAAAATGCATAACTAGAGAGAAATGCACTAAAGGGCTTAAAAGATCGCAAGCTAATGCTGAGAATTGGAAAAGAAATGAGAAAAGGAGAGGATCTGAAATTGATATCGCCATCCCTTACCTATAAGCAGGCATTTTGTGTCTCGTTCAGCCTAGCCTGACCTCCCCTTTGTGGTGATGGGGCTTGGGTAGCAGTTGGTGCCTCGAGTTCCTTTGACCAATAGGTGGGGCCAGATGGTCCTGTCTCCTTGCTTCTGCAACCCTAGGGCAATTGTTAGGTGGGGCAAAATGGTTCTTCATGGGAGGAAAGGAAGCTCGCTGCAGCTCCTCCTTCTCTGCCCAGTAAATGGGACCAAAGGCAGAGGCTTCACTTCAGCTCTGCATCTCTGCTGCAATGCAAAAGCATCCCCAAAGTTCTCCCTCTCTCTCTCCCCCCTCCCACACACAGTGCTTTTTTCACAAAAATGAAAAATGTTTAGGGATACTCTCATTTTGACTCAAGAAAATTCATTTTATAGTTCAAATTGGGGGAAAATAAATACAGTAAATGGACAAAAGCCCGCCACCAGGGGTAGCCACGGAACTGACGATTCACTGTGCTAGAGTAGAATCTAATATTTAAAAATGTTTTAGTTCTGTTAGATTCACAAAATGTTTAGAGGTATGTGTCCCCCTGCGTCCCCACAGAAAAAAGCTGTGTGTGTATGTATACGTGTGTGTGTGTGTGTGTGTATACACACACACACACACAAACTGTAATTAAGTTTTCTGTTTTACGAATTAGACTATTCATTTATACAACCTTAAAATATCCATGACTTCCCTTCTTCTTTTTCCATGGTTCATTTTACATAGCATAAATCCCTGCATATTTTACATAAACTAAGCCATTCAGTATTCCATTATTACTTCCATCGAAACTTATTTACATTGTTGAATTTATCTTAATGCTGCCAACATTTTCAGGCATGCACAATTCCCCTCCCCATATTTTCAATAAATATTTTCCAATCTTCTTTCAACAAATGTTCTTCTTGTTCTCTTATTCTATACTTTAGGTCCGCAAGCTGCGCATATCACATCAGTTTAAATTGCCATTCTTCTTTAGTTTAAGGTTACCAGATTTTTTTGAATGAATCTGGGGACACTTTTCAACTTCAGTAGGAATGATAGGATTTTGTATGGGGACTGATTTGTAAATCCGGGGACTGTCCCCAGGAAATGGGGACATCTGGTAACCTTACTTTAATTGGGACCTCGCTCATTTTCCATTTTGGGGCTAAGTAAACACAGGCCTCCCCCAAAGTTCTGATATGATGCACGTTGTCTGATAAGGCAAACTTTTAGCCAGCTAGATATCTGCACTTGTGACTTAGAATGTTTCTTCACTTTATTTTTTGCAAGGTGCTAGTTTGTGGTGCCTTTAATTAAAAACATGTAGGCCAATCGTCTTAACATTCTGAAAACTTTTTTAAAGAGAGCAGCGAAGGGAAGAGCGATGCAGATATGAAAAAGTTGGAGGACAATGATTGCGACCGAGGTAAGATGACAGGCAGCTGCTAGCTGTCTCCATTGTTAAAAATTGTGGTAGTAACCCTGAGCTTCTGGCTGCTTGTAGGGAGACACGATTGAGTATTCCTTCATACCAAAAATACCCCCCAATGTCTCACTGCCTATAGAAATCTTAATGTGTAAGGAAGAAGGCTAAGCTAGAGGCTTTCTTCCTGACATGCTAGCTCTCTGCCTGCAGGGATTTTTGTGAATGGAGGGGCTTTCAGTTGCATAAACCCTCTATGTTTCTTTAGTTTTTATTGTTTTCATATTAAATGTTGTCAGCTTTATGGGTTGCCTGTGTTAATCAATAAACTATACAGTATACTAAATGTATACTGTGTAAATTTAGTAAATAAATAACATGCATTTTTTCTTCACGCAACACAGTACCTGCAGCAGAAACTTCTCTCTTAAACAAGCTGATTAGAAAATCGTTAGTGGAGTCCTACCATCACGTAGAGGTTTTGCAGCGTGATCCCAGCTCACCGCTGTTTTCCGTGAAAACCTTTGAGGAATTGCATTTGTGAGTATCTAGAATCAATTGACGTTTGCATTTTGTTTGTAAGTTTTGTTCATTCAGTGACTGCTCTTCTCCGGGCTGTGGGTCTACTCGAAATGGATAATTATATATCAGAAACTGAATCAGCCCATGCCCGCTCACCAGAAAGTGCTTACCCACCCTGTGGTCTGGTGCTTATTATGGGTTTTGAATTTCCCAGAGCTCAGGTTCAGATCCTGCATTTCGCAAAAGCTTGTTTGGTTTACGAACCTAACGTGCTGCGTTTCAGTATGAGTCCATTGTCTTCTATTCCTATTGACCTTTCTGTTGGTTTCAGAGCGCCATCTGCTTCCATAGCACTTCTTATCCTTATAGCTCTGTTGACTTTTTCAGGATTTTAGCCTTGCTGAAATATTTAGGTGTGCTCTGGTCTGAGGCACAAGTTGTAGATTGTGGTTCGAGGACCCGACCCCTGCTTGGAGGAATAAAGACACGTGGACACAGTGTATAAGGTTAATGGGCAAGAAAAACTTTATTGATTACAGCAAGTGAGAAGGTATTGGCTTAGGCATTGGACCACGGAAGATTTGACTCCACCCACTCGGGGAGGGGTGAGTCTGAAGAAGGGGTTAACCACCAGTAGGGGGAGCCTGTTGGTGCTAATACAACTATAAGCTCTCCCCTGATGTCACCGGGGGTTGTGCCATGGCCCCCCGCCACACAGGCATCGGACAGGATCCACGACCGCTGGATTCCTTTAACGGAATACCCAAATTTGAAGGGGTAGGCGATGGCCACACCTTGCCCTCCACACACCAACAACACATTCCAATGCCTAACCGCCAAATACCAAGAAAGTTGTGACGATTGCTACGAGGTAGGCGACAAAAACCAAGTGGCCGGTGCCAATTTGCCAGTTGGAAAAAATTCCTACCAGGCCCCCTGGGTGACCAACCAGAGTCGCTGACTCCTCTTAGAAGGGGTTGATGGGTCAAGAGAAAAGCTAAGCCCTAAGCACTAAGGGAGTGGTGGGTGGGTGACTCGCGGCAAAAAGGAGCAAATGGGCAGAATGGCTGGCGTGGCTGCATCTTGAACAGCAAACCATGCCCCCACCAAGCCGCCCGATTGGGTGCTCAACTGGGGGCGTGGCGCGCCAGCCATGTGAGTGGGGCAGGGGGCATAATGCCCCCTGTGTGACACGGGAATTGCGTCCCGCCCACAATACGTCCCCTCCGGAAGGAGGAGAGGCCCTGTAAAAACACAACAGAGTGACTGGAGCTGACGCCTTTCAAACCAGTAATTTCACAGGAAGCTGCCTTATACTGAATCTGATCACCTTACACTGGTCCATGTGGTTCAGTAATGTCTACACTGACTGGTAGCAGCTCTCCCGGGTTTCAGGTAGAAGTTTCTCCCCCGCCTGCAGAAGCTAGGGATTGACCTTCTGCTTGCATGTGCTGTACCACTGAGCTACAGAAAATACATTATTGAAGAATATTTTCTGATAACCAATACTTAAGTTAGACAAGGGAAAGTTTGAGAATAGTGGGTCTGAAAATTACACTCCAGATGATGGACTTTTGGGAGCTAGCCGACTTGACCGGAAGAGTCTGCGACCAGAAGGAGGAGGAGTACCAGGAGGAATGGATGAAATTCAAAGACTATTTAGCTAAATATGCTAAGATAACTTAAATAGAAATACTTGTGAGTACCAGATTGGCTTAGGATTTAAATATGTGATGTTATAGAATATTATGTTTAAAGTTAATATGAAAAGAAAGAAAGACGTTACTCGACTAAGTAAATTTTATGAGAAATTAGCTTTGGAAAACTGTTACAATGATATACATTGAAACTCAGCCAGGGGGATTCGAGGAAGTCCCCTAATAATGTTAACAAAAGTGGAATTATTACAGTTAGGATTTATGTTTGTTTGTTTATGTTTGTTATAAATTTGGAAAACGAATAATTTTTTTTTGGAAAAAAAGAAGAAAATTACACTCCTAATACTTAAGAAATGTTGGTATAAACCTGCAATATGCTGTTCTATGGGCCTCTCTTGCTGTTATTAATAAGCCACTTTTTGCATTAGCTGACTCCTCTTAGAAGGGGTTGATGGGAACGCAACATCTTTGTAGCAGGCTGTTATTCTGGTTTTCAGGGCTTTTCATTTTGCTACCGCCCAATTCTATTGGTTCGAGACCAAATCGTATAGTTTATCTTGACGTCATTTTGTGTGAAAATGAGCCCAGCGATTTGCAACGTGTTCTGCCATCTATCCAAATTTCTCAGTTATGGCAACTCTTGATTCTCTAAAATCATGACGGCTATTCCTTTTAAAGTCCACAGCAGAACATGGAGGTTAGGGGATCTTATTTACCAGACTGCTAGCATCCTCCAGTTTCACTCAGAAGTACCTGAGCTGCTTACGTGTAAAACTGTTAACTTTTATTCTCATCTTAACAGGAAAGATGAACTCTTGCAAGGCATCTATGCCATGGGCTTCAACAGACCTTCCAAGATCCAAGAAACGGCACTTCCAATGATGTTAGCTGACCCGTGAGTTGGTTTCAAACAAATTGAAAGATATTCTTTCTGTTGCAGACAGCATGGGACACACCTGTGCCAATTAGCCAGCGAACTGTTGAGCTAATTCATGTTAGATTTCTTGTAGACGCTGGAGTTTCATCTACTAGAATGGGTAACATAACTTCTGTCCCCAACTGACACACAGGTTTAGGGGAGGGATATTTTCCCTCTGATTGCTATTCTGTTGCCTAATAGTTTTTGCATCCTGTTATCAAATGAAAATCCGAATAAAGATACCTTTTCAGGCTGGTTATCAACCACCTTTGAAATCAGAATTTTTCGTTCTGGTTAATCTGTGCTTTAGAAGGTTGTCAATCACTGTTTTCTGTTCTTTTCAACCTTCTTATTCCCAGTTCTTGTGCTTAAAAGACTCGTTCTCCCAATGAAACTTGAAGTATAAAATATTATTAATACTCTGAAAAGCAAATCCCGAAAATTTGGTAAACCATAAGGTAAAGGTACCCCTGCCCGTACGGGCCAGTCTTGACAGACTCTGGGGTTGTGCGCCCATCTCACTCAAGAGGCCGGGGGCCAGCGCTGTCCGGAGACACTTCCGGGTCATGTGGCCAGCGTGACATCGCTGCTCTGGCGAGCCAAAGCCGCACACGGAAACGCTGTTTACCTTCCCGCTAGTAAGCGGTCCCTATTTATCTACTTGCACCCGGGGGTGCTTTTGAACTGCTAGGTTGGCAGGCGCTGGGACCGAGCAACGGGAGCGCACCCCGCCGCGGGGATTCGAACCGCCGACCTTTCGATCGGCAAGCCCTAGGCACTGAGGCTTTTACCCACAGCGCCACCCGCGTCCCTTGGTAAACCATACTTCTATGTAAAACATTCTTCCCACTATGCCTTTTTTGTGCCTCTCAAGTATCCTTGTTGTATCTGAAGAAGTGTGCATGCACACGAAAGCTCATGCCAATAGCAAACTTAGTTGGTGTCTAAGGTGTAGGGACGCGGGTGGCGCTGTGGGTTAAACCACAGAGCCTAGGACTTGCTGATCAGAAGGTCGGTGGTTCGAATCCTCGCGACGGGGTGAGCTCCCGTTGCTTGGTCCCAGCTCCTGCCAACCTAGCAGTTTGAAAGCATGCCAGTGCAAGTAGATAAATAGGTACCGCTCCAGCGGGAAGGTAAACGGCGTTTCCGTGCACTGCTCTGGTTCACCAGAAGCGGCTTAGTCATGCTAGCCACATGACCTGGAAGCTGTATGCCGGCTCCCTCGGCCAATAAAGCGAGATGAGCGCCGCAACCCCAGAGTCGGTCACAACTGGACCTAATGGTCAGGGGTCCCTTTACCTTTACTTTTAAGGTACTACTGGAAGGAATTTTTTTTATTTTGTTTTGACTACGGCAGACCAACATGGCTACCTACCTGTAACTTGTTTCAGTTACAGATATCCTTCTTCATTATTATTTCCTTGAAACAGGAACACTCTTTAGGACCTTCGTCTTATTAACTCTGTAGCCCAAAAGCTGGGATCCCCTCCAAACCTGCGCCAAAGTTTTGCAGCCATTTTATTACAAAAACGCCACATTTTGCTGCGCCCCCCCAAACTGAGTAATTGATACATTAACCTGGGGCTCGAAGTTAACACCCAAAATTCCAATGGTGTCTGAGTCTCTTCAAACCGGTGCCAAAGTTTGGTGATAGTTTTGCAGCACTCCACAAACTGAGAAGCCCAGACCATTGGAATATTGTTGTCTTTTTGCATTAATCCCAACTTGATTCTCTGTTTCAGACCCCAAAATCTTATAGCACAAAGTCAGTCGGGGACAGGCAAAACAGCTGCTTTTGTTCTGGCTATGCTGAGCAGAGTGAACCCACAGGACAGATTTCCACAGGTAAAATAAACTCAGCGATACAGCCACCGGCTGCAGAGTCATCCTCAGCTCACTAACGCCAACAAGAAATCGAAATCTGTGCTATTAACCTGAGTAAGGGCTGCTTCCCTGGGGTTTGTGCCTTTTCCTTCTGGTCCGCTGCTTCCGTAGAATGGCTAAGCATTTTCAATGCTGAGAGTTTCCTAAAAACCTGGAAGCTGGCTGGTGGATGCAAACTGCCGTAAAATTGACACACAGACTAATCTTGCAGAAGTGGAATTAAGCCTCAACATGGTAACAAAGTAATGTTGGCACCAGGGTGGATTTTATTTAAATCAAATCAATCTAAATCACGATTTAAATCACAAGTCAGTAAAACTTGATTTAAATCATTGGCCAGTAAGACTTGATTTAAATCACTTTTTTTTTACAGAAAGACTCATTCTTCCTGGTATAATCTTAATATTTACAACCAGGTTTCATTTTTGGAATAAAAACTTTTCAGAGTAGTTTTTACAGTTATATCAAATATTACTGATTTGGTTATACTATTAGAAATACAGTGGTAGAGGACTGGAAGAAATTCAAAATATATCTTAAAAATTACTGTAAAATTGAGGAGTGTTAAGATGTTAAGGATCTGGGAAATAGAGAATTACAGCTGTAATTAATAAGTTAAAAAAGAACCTATATGAAAGTGAACTTGACAATTAGTTAACTGGAGGAGTTGCTGAAGAAATGTAAAACAAGGATGCAGAAAAGGGGAGGTATGGGGAAGTCCGAGAAGTAAGGTGTATGAAAATAAGATTATGAAATTATACATGTTTATATGTTTGTATGTTTTTGTTTTGTGTATTGTTTGTTTTTATTATGTGTTTGGAAAATTAATAAAAATTTATTTTTAAAAAAAATAGAAATACAGTGGTAGATAATTATGAAATTATTGTGAGGTTTAATAAGTTAACTGTTTATATTTGGGCAACTTTTCTGCTGTACTTTATTGGAAGGAGGAAAAAGAATGATTTCCTTCATAACAATTTCAACAATTTATTTAACTAAAACAATAACAATACAGTGGAACCTCGTGTTAAATTCTTAATTTGTTCCGGAGGTCCGTACTTAACCTGAAACTGTTCTTAACCTGAAGCACCACTTTAGCTAATGGGGCCTCCTGCTGCTGAAGCATGATTTCTGTTCTTATCCTGAAACAAAGTTCTTAACCTGAAGCACTATTTCTGGGTTAGCAGAGTCTGTAACCTGAAGCATCTGTAACCTGAAGTGTATGTAACCCGAGGTACCACTGTAACATTATAGCATATATATCCATTTTATTTTAAAAATCCGATTTAAATTAAAAAAATCCAATTTTTTGATATATATATTTTTTAAAAACCACCCTGGTTGGCACAATCATCAAGCAACCATCCCACTGTGTTCACCCATACTCGTAGCTGTGACATACTGCATAGGGAAGGGACATTTAACCAGGGTTTTTTTTTAAAAAAAATCCCATGATTCATTTGTTTAAAATCACTTTTAACATTTGTGCTAATGCACTTAACCCCCCCCCAAAAAAAACTAGTGCCATTGTGTGATTGCTTCAGCATTCAAAAGTACAAGACAAAAACTAACACGTTGATAAACTTGCACTGGATGGAACTTCTGTTTGCTCTAAAACACTTCTTTATGTTGGTGCTAAATTGAGCAGATACTTCCATTTTTAAAAACAGGCAAAGAAGCCCAAACCCAGAGATAGATTAAAAAGAATATGCTAAAATGAAGCCAGCCATAAGGCGTTACGGTGGAGGTTTGTGAAGGTAAAGGAGCATGGTCAAAACTGTAGCTTATTTTTTAAATAATCTTTATTAATTTTCCAAAAAGGTTACATAAAGTGGAAAAGACAAAAAATCAAAACTCAAAAACATCAAAACATACAACACAGAGAGAAAAAGAAAAAGAAAAAGAAAAAGAGATTCACCTCTTCACACTTATTTTCAGTAACTTCTTTTCACGACTTCCCCACATCTCCTCCTATTGTTTTCCAACTCCAATTTATTTACTCTAGCAAGTTTTTCCCCTAAACATCCTGTACCTTATTTTATTAAAATTACTTAACCTTAATTTAATTGAATTCATTTTAGTTATGAAGTTATACTTTAGTTCATTATTATACTTTAACATTTTATTAGTATATATACCTTAACCCTCTATATAGAAATGAAAGAACAAACAAAGATATAAGCATAGATCAAAAAAGAGATACCTTTCCTAAAATTGCCACTATTTCCCTCCCACGGATTCCCCATTCTTATGATACTGATCCTTATTCTTTAGAAAATATAAAAAATAAATTTCCAAGCCCCCTTCGGACTGTTAAATCCCACCCTTCTCCCCCCGGTTTCAATCCTTAATCAAAGTACATTTAGTCCATCTTTTTAGCCTGGTGATCTCACGTCCGAGGCACGCAAATCTCTCACAGTTCCTTTCCGCCGATTTCTTTGAAAGTCTCTCATACTTAGCTCCCAGGATCGAAGAATTATTTTCTCAGTACTGGCCATGGTTCTTTCAGCTGGGCCTGCTTGCTTGTAACCAGTATTCCAACGCTGTTTCATAAGTCTATATGTCCCAAATAGTCCTGTTTTCACTTTGGTCAGTTTAGGTTTCTTCTTAGCAGGTCTCAGTCTCTCTTCTCTCTTATGTGATGTCTCGGCCTTCGCTTCCTTCAGCTTCTCTTGCTTGGCAGGTGTCTTTTCCTCCTCAATCTTAGGTTCTTTTCCTTGTCCAGCTGCCTGTGTTTTGAACAGCGAGTCCCTTTCCAAATCAGTTAGTGTATTTTCAGATAGCTTCGGGTTTGGTGGGCTCGTAGACAAAACAAGGCCTTTCTCATTCATCTGTAACAATTTTCCCACGAGGGAGGTCAACTTCTCCAAGCCAGCACGTATTTCCTGTATTCCCTGTTTTAGTTCCATTCTTGCAATGTCCAAGAATCCCCTCTAGAGGGATTCTGGTTACTTGGTAATCTTTCCTTCTCCGATCCAAAAGTCAAATTTGTTTGTAACAATCTTTCCTTATTTGCAATATTTTGTAACGATTTAGTCGGTTAAAGTTTCAATTTTCAGTTCTTTCAGCTTTGACAGCTAGTTTGACAGCTGTCAAAAGTATCTATGTCTCAGCAGGCTCTTAACTCGGGTTGCTCCCGGGCTTGAGTAGGGTGGTACTTTATTCAAACAAAGTAATCTCTTGTCCTCCAGCACCTTAGCTTAGTTCTTTTAAATCCGTGAGGTTTATATCCTTTATCCAATCATACAAATTTTTCCCGCAACTTTAGTAGACAGGTCCTTGCTTTGCACTGTTAACAATATGGAGGAGACGGACTTCCTTTTTTTCGGCTCCCCCGTTCGTACCGAATCCAAACCGAAAAATTTATAATCCAATTTTCAAATTACTCACGGGTTGTTGCTCTTGCTTTTAAGTCCAAATTTAGCAGGAAGAAGTCAGCGCTGGCTGAAGAATGGCATGCGGCTTCGCTCGGCAGGGGTAGCGGAAGACTCACAGCACCACGCCGCTCCCTGGCACCCGATCCGTAGCCTTTAAAAAGGCTCTTTCACGAGTCGGGGGGGCGCTTACGGTGCCCGCCGAGTCACCATGCCCACGGACTCCGTGTCCGTGGTTTTTAAGGGTCCCCGTGTCGCCGGCACGGTAAGACCCGATCCCCTGCTGAGCCGATTCCCTCCGGAGCTCGGAGGGAATCCGCCATTAGCCAGTCGCGCCAACCCGGAAGTCAAAACTGTAGCTTATTTAAAAAGACTAGTACTGAGGCGATCAACATCTGGTGGCGATTGCACTTATTGTCCCTTCCTTTTAAAATAAAAACAAGTTTTTCTGCAGTTTGAGAAAAGATAGGAGGAGCTTAAGGGAAACAGGAGGGCAGTGCTTTCAGGACTGTGTTGTGTAGATGCCCCATAAAAAGTAAATGAACAAATTGTATCTATTCCACATCTTTTCAGTGCCAGATAAACGCTTCTCTTTCTCCGCAGGCTGTAAGGTGATGTTGTTAGGTAGCTAGTGTGCTGCCAAAACCTTCCTGTGGCTGTTACGGGCATTGTTTGGTTCTGTTTTTATGCTGCAATGTATTCATATTTATGTTTTAAATATTCTGCAAGTCTGCTGGAGACTCTTTAGTGAGCAAGGGAAGAAGAGGTCTAATAAATAACAGTAATAGCCTAATGCTAAAGTGAAAAGGAAACATGGCCTGCGTGTCCTGTTGGGGAAGCACTGCACCATTGCTTAAGGCTAAACTGACCTCCATCTTTCTGTTTCCTTCTACCTCTGTTGCCTCCTCCCAAAGTGTCTCTGCTTGTCTCCCACCTTCGAACTGGCATTGCAGACGGGGCGAGTGATTGAGAAGATGGGAAAGTTTTGCGTCAACATAAAGGTTGCATTTGCCATTCGAGGGAACAGACGTAAGGCTCTCTCTTGATGCGTTTTTTCCTGCCTGCGTTTGTCTTGCTGCCTAACACTTTTGTCAGAAGTGCTTTTGTTACAAAATCCAGATGTTACAGAGCACCACCCACCCACCCCCAAAGCTGTTGGTGCCATGAAATGCATACTAAATCCTGCATGCCTTTCGTAGATTAGATTCGGCGGCAGCTTTATTCAGCTCATAGCAGCGAGGAATAGAAGTTTCCCCAAACTGTCTTCTTTATAGACATTATTTACACAATGGACCCCAGGTGATTGGCTGATTCCGGGATTCTCCTGTAGGCCAATCAGGTTGCGGATTCACTTCCACCTGGAGCTGGATTGAGTGGCTCCTGCGGACCAATCAGACTGCTGCATTCTGGATCCTATTGTTCTAGGACCAATCAGACTGCTGCATTCTGAATCTTATTGTTCTAGGACCAATCAGACTGCTGTATTTTGGATCCTATTCAACTCAGTACATAACAGTGAACTAAGTATCCACCTTTTAAATTTGCTTTCTCCGTTAAAAAAAAAAAAAGATTTCTCACTTACCAAGATGTTTATGCCATGAAATAGCTCCCCCCCTCCAACCACCACTCGAGAATTGAGTGTAAACCAGGGTAGCCAGTGTTGTTGCCTGCAGGTTTGTTTGGGCTGTAGCACCCATCAGCCTCATGGATCGCAGCCATTGTAGCAGATGATGGAAGTTGAAGCCCCAACAACTTTTGGATGGCATCATGCTGATTATGCCTTGTCTTGGCTGCTGTGTTTGGACTCAACGGCATGCTTCCTTCTTGCCCCTCCCTAAATTTTTAAACCTGGTTTCTCTGCTCCTATGGCGAGGTTTTTCTGGAAGAGTGTGTTCCAGCAGGGCACGTTAACAGGGCATTTGTTTACAGCTTGCATGTACTGCTTAAGTGGGGCACTGGTGGCACTGTAGTCTAAACCACTGAGCCTCTTGGGCTTGCCATTTGGAAGGTTGGCGGTTCAAATTCCCACAATGGGGTGAGCTCCCATTGCTCTGTCCCTGCTCCTGCCAACCTAGCAGTTCGAAAGCACACCAGTGAAAGCAGATAAATAGGTACCACTGTGGCGGGAAGGTAAACAGTATTTCCGTATGCTCTGGTTTCCGGCACGGTGTTCCATTGCACCAGAAGTGGTTTAGTCCTGCTGGCCACATGACCCGGAAAGCTGTCTGTGGACAAACACCAGCTCCCTCGGCCTGAAAACAAGATGAGCACCGCAACCCCATAGTTGCCTTTGGCTGGACTTAACCATCCAGGGCTCCTTTACCTTTTACTGCTTAAGTAAAGTGGAGAAAGAACTGCAGGAGATATACCTCCATGTTTCTTCTTGGCACTTGGTTTTCTGCAAAATGATGGAGATCCTTTAAGCCAGGAATGGGCAGGGGGGACACCTGTAGCCTTCCAGGTCTTGTCGGACTCCAACTCCCATCAGCCCCAGCTAGCATCCAGGAGGACAGTACTAGTAGTTGGACAGCCCCTTCTCTGATTTAAGCCTCAGGCCGAGCTTGTGCAACTGCAGTAAGCATCTCAACATCAGTTTCATATATTTAGCCCTGGCTCTTGTGCTTATTGTTATTGTAAGTGTGTCGAGGAGCCGGGAGTGCATCTTGCATCCTTGCACCGGACACAACGTCCACATACACTGTTTACCTGTGCACTTGTTCCCCTTCCCCACTTGCACATGGTTAACAAGCTGCAGGTTTGGGGGCCAAGGCTAGCACCGTGATAACAAGAAGGGGGAGAAACAGCAGCTGTTACTCTCCAAAAATTTATTGCAATTACCCCAAATCTTCTTAGTTTAGCAAATGTGCCCTGGCTGACATAGCAAAAGTAACTCAATCTCTCTCCCAGTTCCAAGAGGGACTGTAGTGGAAGAACAGATAGTAATTGGAACCCCAGGAACTCTGCTAGATTGGTGTTTCAAGCTAAACCTTTTGAATCCAAAGAAGATCAAAGTATGTGTGCTGGATGAAGCAGATGTCATGATCGACAAACAGAATTACTCAGACCAGAGTGTCCGAATTCAGAGGTAAACATATTTTGTTTTGTTTTTTTGGTAAGACAGATGTTGGAGAAGTAACTTACTTCTGCTGAAAGTCCCGCATGTAGAACTTTTCTAGACCTGCTCATCCCTGTTGGAGCATCTGGGAAGGTTTTTAACCACTTTATTTGTATTGATAGAACTTGCTTTTCCACTAATTTATTATTACTTTGGAGAAGGCATGCCCTATTGAAGACTTGTCTGTGCCGAAAGCGGCTTCAGATGTAGACCTAAGGGCTTTTGTGCGGTCATGTTGCTGCCATGTAGAAACAATACCATTCTTGCTTTTCTTCTTGAACGTGCAGAAGATTATTATTAACAGCCTAAGTTCCCTGTGTGGGTTACAACAATTTAAAAATACAATATTAAAAACAGTTTAAAACCAATGACCGTCACAAGAAGAGGATGGCACCTAAAAATATTTACCTGAGGTGTCAAAAAGGCCAGGGTAAAGGTGCTTCTTCAGTATACAATGGAAGCTATACATTGACACCTTTGCACTCATCATTTGACCCTCATGTCCCTATACTGGCTTCCTGTCTGCTCAACACAAGCTCCTTGTCTCTGACTTGGGCTCACAAGGCTCCCTGCCTCCCCTTCTGCTTTTATATCCTGATAATGTTCCTTAACGTGTCCTCTGCTTATCCAACTCCTCTCTCAAAGCCTTTGCCCTTTCGCAAGCATTCTGGTGTCCCTCCTTTCCAGCCCCTAGTGTCCTAGGATGCCTCTACAAGGCCACCACACTGTTTTCCCCATCCCTACCCTCCCGTAACAAACCCTAAGCATTTCCAACTGATACAATCACCTCTGCCCTTCCTCTGTTCTTCCCCCGTGCTGTAAGCTCCTGGGCAGAGAGCTTTTCCCCTTGTGTTCTGCAAAGCGCCATGTACCTGGACATTTAAGAAGAAGATTTGGCTTTTATAATTGGTTTGTTACCAAGTTGGAAGACACATAGGTAGGGAGTCTTTTTCCAAGTTCATGGAAGTGCCTGAGAGATGTTCGATCAAGACTTATTAATTGTAAATACTTCTATCTAGGAACGGAGTCTGTGGAATATGGTGCCAGGGGAGAAATTTGAGGGAGGCAGACGGGCAAAGACAACCTCAGAGCCTGCCCCCTTCCCCTCCTCCCAAGTCCCAAGAAATTCGTATCACTGCCCTCTTAGAAGAAATATCTTTCAGTGGGGCTGGTGCTTTGGTTTTGTGTTTACGTGGATCTGGCCTGTATCTTACATGTGTTATAAATATAGAAATAGCTGATTTGAATTCTCTAGTTGAAAACTGAGAGGTAAACCTACTTATTAGGAATGAGTAGAAATACACTGCAAAGTCTCCCTTCTTACCTGGTAACAAGTGAGAATGAAGAGGGTTAGATGCTGCCTTCTACCAAGGCAGGCAGTTGGTTATGAAGCTCAGCTGACTAAGCTGTGGGCCTCAAGGCTTTCAGGCAGGAATCCTGCCCAACCCTTCCTGAAGTTTGAACCTCGTATCTTCTGCATGCAAAGCACAGGCTGCATCGCTAGGCCACAGCTGCTCCCCAGTGTGTTCAGTTCTAACAGGTAGGCAATCTTTGGCCTGCCTGATGTTTGCCAAACTCCCATCGTCCCTGCCCATTGGCCATGCATGCTGGGCTGATGGGAGCTGTAGTTTGGCAACACCTGGAGGGTCCAAGGTCCCCCAACCTGATTTATAAAGAGGCAAAAGATTCATGGCCATGATTTCTCTTGAGAATGAAATGCCGGCTGCTTTTTGTTTTTCTTCCTTCCAGAGCTTTAGACCCCGGTTGTCAGATGCTTCTCTTTTCCGCCACCTTTGAAGACCCTGTGCTGCTCTTTGCCCAGCGCATCGTCCCTGAACCCAACGTTATTAAGCTCCGCCGAGAGGAGCTGACCCTGAACAATATTAGGCAGTACTACTTTGAGTGTGAGAACAAGGAGGACAAATACAAAGCCCTGTGCAATATCTATGGCAGTATCACAGTCGGCCAAGCGATCATCTTTTGTCAGGTAAGGCGCCCTTGCAACATTGAGGTAACCTGGGGCCCCAGAAAACGTCCGGAGAATATATTTGGGGTGAGGAGGAATGGTGGGCCTATGGGCTTGGGATGAAGATTTGCTGACTTCCAACCCAGTCTTACTAGTCAGATACTGTCTTACTAGTCAGTTATAGGTGGTGACCATTTTGTGCAGGGGTTTGTTCCTGGACCCTGTGCCCATCGACACAGCACACAACAGCCAGTCCTGTCCCGCCCTCTTTCAGGTCCAAAAGGACTGTGCGTCGGCAGCCACGCTTCAACTGGACTAGTGCAAAACGGTCACCACCTATACTTTGGGGGGTCCAGAGTGGGAGGGTAAATGACTCAGGACTGCAATACGTCACGGACCGCCTCTTTCCATATGAACCTACCTGGACCCTGAGATCATCTTCTGAGGCCCTCCGTGTACCGCCACCTCAAAAGGGCCAGAGGGTGGCAACACGAGAACGGGCCTTCTCTGCAGTGGCTCCTTGTCTGTGGAATGCTCTCCCCAGAAAAATTCTCCTGGTGCCTTCATTATACACTTTTAGGCACCAGGAAAAAGCATTCCCTTTTAACCAGGCCTTTGGTTGATCTGATTTACATCCTATGCCCTTTTAAAATGTGTTTTTTTTTGTGGGGGACTATTGGGTTTTTATTATGTATTTTGTGGTTTTGTATCTTATATCTTTATTTTATCTATCTATCATCTATCTATCTATCTATCTATCATCTATCATCTATCATCTATCTATCTATCTATCTATCTATCTATCTATCTATCTCTTTATATATTTATCTTAATTTTATTCTGTGAACCGCCCTGAGACCCCCGCATATAGGACGGTATATAAATTCAATTAATAATAATACAGTGGTATCTTGGTTTAAGAACAGCTTAGTTTATGAACAACTTAAATTAAGAACGCTGCAAACCCGGAAGTAGGCATTTTGGTTTGTGAACTTTGCCTTGGAAGCAGAACATGTTTCGCTTCCTGTTGAGTGTGTTGCATTTGTAAATTGAGTCTCCCGCTGCTGTGGGAAAGCACGCCTTAGTTTAAGAATGCTTTGATTTAAGAACAGACTTCTGCAATGGATTAAGTTCATAAACCAAGGTACCACTGTAATAATAAATATAAATGGCTCAAGGCTAAATTCCTAAAAGCTGGACCTGCCAGAACAGAAATGTTGGTGTCATTGCAGGGAAGGCCATGACCTTGTGTGTCTCTTTTTTCCTGTGTTCCTTTGGCAGACTCGTAAAAATGCCAAATGGCTTCACTGGGCTCTGTCGAACGATGGGCACCAAGTATCCCTGTTGAGTGGGGAGCTCTCTGTCGAAGAGCGTGCAGACGTGATCCAGAAGTTTCGCGATGGGAAAGATAAAGTCCTCATCACAACCAACGTCTGCGCCAGAGGTAATGACTTGGACAAGCAAAAGCAAGGTGGATACTTGCTCCTTCAGCAGGAAGTGACCTTGTTTTGTGTCGCCTCGTAGGCATCGACGTGAAGCAGGTCACGATCGTTGTCAACTTTAGCCTGCCTACGACGACGCCCTGGCTGCCTGACTACGAGACCTACCTGCACCGCATAGGCCGAGCAGGTCGCTTTGGAAAGAAGGGTCTGGCGTTCAATATGGTCGAAAGCCATAATCTACCACTTGTCTATGCAATTCAAGACCACTTCAGTGAGCATGAGATTTTCATGTGACTTAATTGTGCAGAAAGTTAGACATTGGGTTAGGGTAATCAGGGTTTGAATCTCTGCTCAGAAACATGCTCACTGGCTTTTAGCCTCTGAATTAGCTATAATTGGGAATTAAAAAGGTTGCACAGCAGTGGAAAAGAGAGAGAGAGAGAGGCTGAATTATAGTTGGGCATTTTTCCTGCCAGAAATGACTTGGCCTATTGCCTAGACAAATAACAGCATTTTAAAATAATTAAACTTTCAACATAGCAACAGAACTACGTTTTTAACCATTTGATACATACCCGAATTAACTAGACCAAATTCTTTATTGCATGCATCACATGCCTTTTCTTCAGGATGGTTAAGGTAGCTATTCATTTTTATTTATTCAAAAGCATTTATAAACTAATAATTAAAAAAAAACTTTCAGCAGTGTACAATATAATAATAATTCAGTATCATTGAAACAGAAATATATCCTGGAATCAATAACAGGGTACCATACATGGCTGTCCCCTTTTTGCACACAACAGCCTTGCGAGAGGCAGGAAAGACCACGAGATGGTGTCTGGCATGCTTCACTTTGGTTAGGAGGCAGGCTCACATTGTTCGTAGCTGCTTGGTGGGTCTGAAATGTCCTGGTCCAACACCCTAACCTAATGACTCCTCAAGTTGGCTAATTTCATGGGTTGAGAATATTAGGAGAAAATTCTGCCGAGTTGCCCTTTTCTTTCCATGCCAGATATTTTCTCAGACAAAGGTTGCCTTTAAAAATGTTGTCCCAGCCGTATCTTCAAGCATCTGTTGATCTCTCCGTCCACCGTGTGGGATTCTTGCGACTCAGAGAGAGAACAGGCCCAGAGTATTAGTCGCCCTCCCTGTGACCAGTGGCTTGTGAAGGGCTGAGTCCTTCTTTCTGCATTGGGACCCTCCTCCTAGCAAAATTGTCTTTCCTTTTCAGAGACTACCATCAAGTGCCTCGATCCAGAGGATATGGAAGCACTGGAAAAAATAGACGACTGAATTCTTCTACGGCTTGAAGGGGAAATGGTGGCTTTCCAGAATACGGCTGGGCTCAAACTCCCAATTTTCCCTAGTCTGCATGGCCAGGAGCAAGGGATGGTGGGAGCTGGAGTCGAGCACGTTTGGAGGGCCTCAGGTTACCCATCCTAGAGAGTTCTGTAATGTTAAACCACTTTTCAGACGACGCTGATATTTTGTCAGAATAATAATAATAATTAAAAAACAAAACTCATTACTTGCCCTTGGTTTCTTTTGCTTGCGCCAACTATTAAGACACATCAGATGTCTTGTGTGTTTGGAAGAGCTATCCCTGAGTGCCTTTAATACTGCCTCCAGGCCACGTATGTGCCCTTTGGCGCTGCTATAGATATGAACTGCTGTGATTTGTGATCTCCCTTGAGAGAAATGGGCTCTCACTTAGGGATAAAGCCTGCGAGTGATATAATTCCATCCCCTGGTTCAGTCTGTAGCTCTCACAATGCCAAGTGCTCAGATCTTTGCGTATAATAAAATGGACTCCTTGAGTGCTTCCCAATATGCAATATTAATTGGTGTCAGCGGAGGTAAATTTAAAGATTAATGAAGTGAATAGACCTCCACATTTCAGTAAAAGCGGAATGAGCAAGTTTATTATTACTGGTGATTAAGCTACCAGCCTCTAGATGTCAGTGGCTCCTTTCACTTAATTTTGTGCCCTAGGCAAATCAGTTTTGACTTCAGAAATGTGTGATGTATGTATGGAAGGAAGGAAGGAAGAAATTAAAGAAAGAGGGAGGGAGGAGGAAGAAGGGGCTCCTACCCCAGGCCCCTTAAAATACGCAATTCGGCAAGGGTTTCAGCTTCTTTCAGTGATCAGTTGCCACCAGTTCAGAGCCAGGGGCAGAAAAGTGACAGTTCTTAGGGCTTTTCATTTTGGGAGCAGAATCCACAAATGCAAAAAGGGAACCAATTGGATCATGGGGCATAATTGAAGACAGCAGCTCTCAGAATGCTTCTTTGGCCAGAGACTTCATTCACTCAGCAAGGTGGGACTTACTCTTGAGTCGGCCTGTATGAAGATTAGGCAGGCAAGTTCATCTCAGCCGGGTGAAGGCATTTTGCTGAATATGGTAGACAAGATGCTCCTTTCCTAATATGGCAGCCTAATTGCACCAGCAGTTGAATCTTCAGCGCTGGGGACAGCATAGCATCTTCCATGGCAACAGAGGACAGCTGGGGAGGCCCATGGCTTGTACGAATCTCTTTCCCATCCTTCATGCTCACGGCCTCGGGAGTCCTGCCTCACCTTTATTATAATACAGGGGCCAGCAAACTTGTTCAGCAGGGGGCCAGTCCACTGTCCCTCAGACCTTGTGGTGGGCCGGACTATATTTTGAAAGGGAAAAAAGAACGAATTCCTATGCCCAACAAATAACCCAGAGATGCATTTTAAATAAAAGCACACAATCTGTTCATGCAAAAACACGCTGATTCATGGACCATCCGCGGGCCGGATTTAGAAGGTGATTGGGGCGGATACGGCCCCCGGGCCTTAGTTTGCCTACCAATGTTCTAATACTAGGATTGGAGATTTCATAAAGAAACTCACAGACCTAGTAGGAAAGTGACAACTAACAGTGTTGTTTGGGTGTGACTTGAGCTGAAAATATTAGCAGGCAATATTAGTCGACAATTTGGTGCCTGCCAGAGTCTTCCTTGTTCCCCCTGGGATGAATCGTATTCTCCAGGTTTCCAGATTTCCTACTTTTTGAAAATAAGTGATTTTCTTGCATTTTAGAAACCGGCAAAATGTACAGACACAACTTTTCTCCGTTTTAAATGAGAAATTAACCCGCAACACCCTTTCTGTGTTTCTGTTTGTTGCCCCTTCATAAAATTTGGTGCACACATCCCCATTTGTGAGGATGGGGGTAGAAAATAAGGTGGCGGGCGGGGGGAGATAACCCTACCCCCCCACCCCTTTGGCATTGGTCTTGTCCACACCTGGTCTGAGAGATGCAAACTTTCCCTTTCAAAAATACAGTTCTCTAGATTTCTTTTTTTTATTGAATTCATTGTGAGCTAGCAGCTGCTTCTGTGCCCTTTGGGTCGTCTTGGGAGTTGCCAACTGTCTGGGGGCATGCCAGCCTGCTCTGATGCCTTTTAATGGCTTGGTCTGCAGAAACCTTTTCACAGCATGCAGGTAAACACTGTCTCCTGTTCTCTAGATGGAGCGGCTGTTCAAGATACAGGGCAATAAAAAGATGGCAGCCACCTTGTTTTTTAGAGGACAATGAATGTTGAACGCAGTGTAGCAACAGCATCTTGAAGAGGGTTTGCAAAAAATAACCCCAGGGCAACTCGTAAAAGATGTTTATGCTGAAATAGTCCTTTTAATATACAGTGGTACCTCAGGTTACAGACACTTCAGGTTACAGACTCCGCTAACCCAGAAATAGTACCTCAGGTTAAGAACTTTGCTTCAGGATGAGAACAGAAATCATGCACCGATGGTGCGGCGGCAGCGGGAGGCCCCATTAGTTAAAGTGGTGCTTCAGGTTAAGAACAGTTTCAGGTTAAGAACGGACCTCCGGAATGAATTAAGTACTTAACCCGAGGTACCACTGTATAGTCATACCTCGGGCTGAAGTAGCTTCGTGATGAATATTTTGAGGTTGCGCTCTGTGGTGACCCTGAAGTAATGGAGTGTGTTACTTCCGGGTTTCGCCGCTCGCGCATGCGCAGGCGCTCAAAATGACGTACGCACATGCGCGGAAGCGGTGAAACACGACCTGCAAATGCACGCAGTCGTGTCTTACGTTTACTTTGAGGTTGAATTGAGTTGAGGTTGAATCCTGACAAGACAGAAGTACTGTTTTTGGGGGACAGGAGGCAGGCAGGTGTGGAGGATTCCCTGGTCCTGAATAGGGTAACTGTGCCCCTGAAGGACCAGGTGCGCAGCCTGGGAGTCATTTTGGACTCACAGCTGTCCATGGAGCCACAGGTCAAATCTGTGTCCAGGGCAGCTGTTTACCAGCTCCATCTGGTACGCAGGCTGAAACCCTATCTGCCTGCGGACTGCCTCGCCAGAGTGGTGCATGCTCTGGTTATCTCCCGCTTGGATTACTGCAATGCGCTCTACGTGGGGCTACCTTTGAAGGTGACCCAGAAACTACAACTAATCCAGAACGCGGCAGCTAGACTGGTGACTGGGAGCGGCCGCAGAGACCACATAACACCGGTCTTGAAAGACCTACATTGGCTCCCAGTACGTTTCTGAGCACAATTCAAAGTGTTGGTGCTGACCTTTAAAGCCCTAAACGGCCTTGGTCCAGTATATCTGAAGGAGCGTCTCCACCCCCATCGTTCTACCCGGACACGGAGGTCCAGCACCGAGGGCCTTCTGGCGGTTCCCTCACTGCGAGAAGCCAAGTTACAGGGAACCAGGCAGAGGCCTTCTCGGTAGTGGCGCCTTCCCTGTGGAACACCCTCGCACCAGATGTCAAAGAGAACAACTACCAGGCTTTTAGAAGACATCTGAAGGCAGCCCTGTTTCGGGAAGCTTTTAATGTTTGATGTATTATAGTATTTTAATATTCTTTTGGAAGCCGCCCAGAGTGGCTGGGGAAGCCCAGCCAGATGGGCGGGGTATAAGTAATAAATTATTATTATTATTAAGATTATTATTATTACTTCAGGATGCGAACGGGGCTCCAGAACGGATCCCGTTCGTATCCAGAGGTACCACTGTATTGAAAAGTTGCTCATATAGTCCCAACGCCCTGCAATGCAGGAATCTCAACTAGATCAAACATGACAGATGGCCATCCAACCTCTGCTTGAAAACCTCCAAGGAAGGAGAGTCTGTTGACTCTCGTGGAAGTCCGTTCCACTGTTGAACAGCTCTAACCATTCGAAAGTTCTTCCTGATGCTTAGTCGGAATCTCCTTTCCTGTAACTTGAATCCATTGGTTTAGGCCCTGCCTCTGGAGCAGGGGAAAACATGCTTGCTCCACCTTCCATGCGACAACCTTTTAGATACAGTCGTACCTTGGATCCCAAATGCCTTGGAACGTGGATATTTTGGCTCCTGAACTCCTCAATTTTGCGTGTTCCGGTTTGCAAAGGTTATTTTGGAACCCGAACGTCCAACTGGGCATCCACGGCTTCCGATTGACTGCAGGAGCTTCCTGGAGTCCCCTTTTATCCCTCTTAAAAGAAAAACGACACAAGAGTCTTTCCTTAAAAGTAACAAGAAGTTTACTCACATTTCAGTTCATGATTTGATCCCTGAAAGGCAGGCTTTACTTAGTAGTTACATAACAATCTGCGAGTTTATCTTGCATGGAGACTGAGCTCATGCACTGCTGGCTGAGAGCTGGCAGACAGCAAAATTACATTAAGAGAACAAAATGGCTGCAGGAGACCAGCATGGCAGCAAGAGAGGGCAAGAGAGAAAGAATGGATGTGTGACTCGGCTCTTTTAAGGAGTCAGCCAGGGCCATGCCCATCTCCCAGATCACATGCAGGTGGAGGATGCTCCAAACAGTGGAACAGGAAGTTACACTGACTGGAGTAACACCCCCCTGCCTGTGCCTGCTCTAGGGAAATAAGGAATGTTGCATTTGACTGTTCCAATGGATTACATCCCACAAGACATAGCTTTGCCTGCTCTTGCATCCAGTCCCACCACTGACCTGTGCCCTCCCTGGAGTAGACAACACTAAGCTTGAGGAATACATAGTTTGACTTGGGACAAATCAACACTCATGGTTTATAACATTAAAAATGTGTTAAAATGTGACACCAGAGGGAGTTGCAGAGCAGCTAGCCTCTGGTAAAAGGGAAACTGCCATTAAACGTTATAGAACATATTTAATAACGTTTGGAAGATCAATGTAGATCCAGCGCTGGTATAAGCAATGCTGGCTTTTTTTTGGGGGGGGGTGTCTTTAAGCTGGCAGCATCCACCCCCCCCAAAAAAAGAGACAAGACATTCACCAGAGACAAATGGCTGATGAAGATGATGTACTTTGCCTAGATGGTGAAATTGGCTGGGAAAATCAGAAACCAAGAAGAGAAGAACTTTAAGAAGGAATGGGAAAGATTTATAATGTGTTTAAGAGATCACTGTAAACAACAAAAAACTTTGGCAGGATTTGAATAATGATCGGAATGTATTAGAGATTATGGTAAAAATTGATTATTTCAAATTTTTTTAAAGAGAAAATAAAAGAAGCAGTTAGAAAGAGA